CTTTAAAAGGTATTTGTGCAAAAATAGGTCCCAGTAACCCAACATAACATAAAGTTCTTTTTATTTATTTCAAAAAGAGTGAGTTTGTTATCAATTAAATATCATCACATTGTTTAAAATAAACCTTACAATCTATGGCCTTCAAAATGTCACTGATACTTCTCAATCAACTCCTAATCTGGGTACACGTCTAAATCAATTAGGCAATAGGATTTCTAGTGATAATATACGAGGTTGATTCATTTTGAGTAAGTAATGATTGTAATCATTACCGATGGAGATATATACAATACCAAAGTATGTTAGTGACGAAATAGTTATGTAGGCATGTATGGACTACACACTTGAAGCAAGAAGAAAAGCAATAATAAATATATAAATATGAATTAATTTATTATTTATTAAAGTTTTAATAAATAAGTAGAAGATAAATATTCAGAATAGTAGTAGACCACATATTCAATTAAGTGTTAATATTCATTTTTTAGCAACTAAGCTCAAAAAACTTGCAATCTTTTACATATTTGGGCTTTTACTCTATAAACCGATCACCTTCTGAATATAAGAGCTTTTTATAAATATAATAAAAATTTAAGGGTCTTTTAGAAAATGTTTTAAATATTATGTTATTATCTTACTATCGTATTCCTTATATCTAATCGATTGTATTATATTAATCTAATCTTACAGTATTTTCTCTGTTAAACAGAGATTATCCATTACAAAAATATTTTTTATAAAACAAATGTTTATTATCAATGATATCATTTAAGATTGTTAATATCGGGTTCCAATATAGGATCGTTTTCGTTTTGGAAAATCTTGATTCAAAAGAAATTTAAAACATAAAAATATATATTTTCTTTTTCATCCATCATTTACTCATTCAGTTACCAATAAATATTTTTAAAATATAAAAACATATCTATAAGAGCGTCTCCGACCCACTCTCATTCTCCATTTTTCCCCCCGTTTCTTCCCCAATTTTTCTCCAACCCTCCCCCATTTATTCCCCCATTTTGGGAGATATGAATAGTATTACACCAAATATGGTGTTATACTCTTCATTTCTCCCAAAATGGGGATGAACTTTGCATTGTCGGTTTTAGTCCCTCTGTTTATATATTTATATATTTTTAGTTCATTTTTACCTAATAATTATAATTTAAATATAATATTTAATACTTATAATATTTTGTTATATATTAAATTATATTAATTAATTATAAATATATAATTTGTTTTTTTTCATCAAATTCATATAAAAAGTTAAATACATATTCAAATTTTAAAAAACGATAACGTATTTTACAAAAAACTTATAATTAAAATATAAATGCATGTATAATATTTATTTAAAAGTGTGTATGTCTAATATTTATATAAATGTATGTATAATATTTATTTAAAAATGTGTATGTGTAATATCTTTATAAATGCAATCGTTCAATTTATGATTCCATCCTCTACATATGATTTGCAATTCCAAAGGTGGAGTTGTGAGTCTTCAATTCTTATAAAACATTTATTAGTTTCATTATAAATTCTAATCACCATTTTTACTTCAAATACATGTGGTTCGAAATAAAAAACTCATTTCAAGTATTTGACAAAATATATTATTAAGATGAACATTTATTTAGAATTCTTTCAATTCCATTCCAATGGTGAATAATCGTTAAAACCACAAATTACTTCTCTAATATTTATATATCATTTGAATCATCACATGGATCAATAATAAATTAATATATAACTGTATAACTTCACTTAGAACCCTATATTTCAATACAAAACTTCATCTAACAACTATACTACAACCTCTTTAAGCTTAGGTAGAACTCCAACATCGAGTTGATGGTTTGAATAGTGATACCTTGATGTTCTATCATGATCAACCCTATATTCCATCATGATCAACCATTCCATGGTTTGAATAGTGATACCTTGATGTTCTAGATTATGGTACAAGCATTAAAACTCATTCGAATCATATATGAACCATAAAAATTCATTCTTATGAAGGTTACAATTAGAAACACCTAAAAATCACCATCAAAGATTCAATCAACAACTATAAAGAGATTTGATTATAAAGTGATGATCTGGAGATAAGATAACAACTAGAAACTTCATTAAATCGCCAATAGAGCATAAAATTTGAATTCGACTACATAACACCCAAACCCTAAATATGAAATGAAAGAGATTTGAAGAGAAATTATACCTTCAAAGACCAATCGGAATCACAAACCACTAAAAAACAAAAATAATGAGTTTTTAACATCAAAATATAATTTTCACTCCAACCACACACTAAACGTTTACACTAAAATAATATTTTAATATAAATTGTAATAGTTATAAAAGAAAATTATACTAAACTATAATATAATAATAATATAATAAAAAACAATTAAATTAAATGATATTTAAGGCATAAAGTAACTATGGTGTGGTCAATAATGAGCCGACATATATACCTACCAAAATTGCTTCGCACAAAAAATGTTGGCCTCTTTACCTACTCATTGGAGTGAAATTTTGCATAATAACATCAAATGGACGGTCTATTGCGGACGTCCTGAATAATGGAAATGAAGAGACAAATGTTGATTTTTTATTTTAGCACAAAAGAGGCTCTAAGTTTACCATGGGAGAAGGATGAAATCCCTTAACAACTTCAAGTTCTCTTTATTAGGCCGTTTGGATCAAATAGGAGAAACAGAAAAGATGTCAAATTTTGCATAATAACATCAAATTGACGGTCTATTGGAGACGTCCTAAATAATGGGAATAAAGAGGCAAATGTTGACTTTTTATTTTGACACAAAAGAGGCTCCAATTTTACCATGGGAGACGGAAGAAGAAATCCCTTAACAATTTGAAGTTATCTCTATTAGGCCGTTTGAATCAAATAGGAGAAAAAGAAAATATTTCTACTTTTTATACATATACAATATACACAATAACCACTAAAGTTTCTTATTTTAAAATTTATTAATTCTTAACTAAGAAACTAACTATCCCTTTGCCTAAACACTTAAAGTCTCTAAGGATTAATTAAGTTAATAAAAGAGTAAATATTATATTTTATAATTCATCAACTAAGACCTTTTTAATATTATTTCTTTATTTGGATTCGATTATATTTTCAAATTATTTCATACATTAAATGCAAGCCCGACCCTGACATATCAGTGGCCTTGTTCAAAAATTAAAGTGAGGCCCCATAAAAATTTTCTTGTAAAATATTATTAAGTAAATTTGCTACCATTAAATTCAAAACTGAAAGTTGCTAACAAACATCTTATAAATTTATTATCATAATATCATGTATTCACTCATTAGATGTTCCGGTTTCTACAATCATACATGTTCACTGAAATATCTTCTTTGTCATCATCGTTACAATTCAAGGTGACTATGTCTTCATCTACACAAAACATATCTTCTGGAACTTGAAGTTCAACTTCTTTTTCTCTAGGTTCTTCCAAAACATCATGAACTTGTTCTCTAGGTTTTTCCACAGCTTCATGAACTTCACACATGTTCTCAGGCACACGTAATTCAACTTCTTATTCTCTATGTTCTTTCACAATCGATTCTTGATTACCACGGTATTCTCACATTTTTTTGACGATAAATCAATTGATATCTTTGACTTTGAATAAAGTGTTATTCTTTTTATTTTCTTTTACGTTTACAACAACCCGATTCAAAATTTATAGTTAGAGGCATCTTTTTTTTTTAACAAAAAAAATAAAATAAAAATAATCAATGTTAATAACGTAACAATATATAATATAATATTTGTAATATTTATCAAAAGTTAATGTTTAAAACAGTTAGAGCATCAAATAAAATTCTTGTTTTCTAACATTTTTTAGTATTGGGGTATAATATATTAAAATTAGAAGTCAAAAATAGGAAGCCCATTACCCCTTCCCCCACCCCACCCTAAAATTTATCATTGCTCTCGACTCTATACCAAACATTTAAAAGCTAAAACTATAAATCATATTGACACTATAGTATGATATATTGATAAATACAAATTCACAAGACACTATACTATATAAAAGGAAAGACCAATAACATTGTTTTTTTTTTTTTTACTTTCTCTACTTCATTATGAATTCATAAATAAATCATTCAAATACAAGTGAGCATTTAAGATGGAAGAGAAAGAAGTTGAGCACAGTTGGGAATTGAGAAATTTAAAGAGATGAGAGATACTAACATGTAGTTATGGAGTCAATTAGAGGACTTAGAGGAGGAAAAAGCTACTACCAACAACCCAACGATATATCAAGATTCAAGATAGAAAAGTAGAAGTTTTCGGCGAGAGACGAGCAACACCAACGATCTATTGATACTGTTATTATGTTTATTAGGGTTTGATCTTTTGGTTAGTTTTATAAAAACAATAACATTTGCTTGAACTTATATAAGAAACATATGTAGACGATCTACTAGTACCGCTATTAGGTTTGTTAGAGTTTGATATTTTCGGTGAGTTTTATAAAAACTATAACATTTGCTTGAACTCATATTAGAAACACATATATTTATTTTTTGATATAGATACTTTCCTTTAATTATTGATAAATTATAGAATTTATGATAAGATTTTTTTTTATTTTACTTGATTTTTTTTCACAATTAAACCTGCATCAATATTGCAACAAAATGTTATATGTGTATCAAGCTAACTACTAATTTTCTTTAATAAAAACACATAAAAATAAATTTTATGAAAATACCAACATCATTACTATATATTGTCCCTAAATCGAGATGCGTCTTAAAATCAGAGGCCTCATACAACTGCACCATTAACACAACCTCAAGGCTGCCACTGATTAAATGTATCATTATTCATTTTATTCCGTTTATCAAGTTTGTAATACATTTCAGAAACTATACATTTGTAATGCATTTTTATATATAGTGAATTATAAGTGAGATAAGTATCAATAAAACAAAAACAATTATTTCTTGCATCATACAAAGTATGGATTAAGGTCGGACACGGCACATTCAATAATCATTTAATACTCATTATTGGCCTTCTCATCCTTAATCCTTATTATTTACCAAAGCTTGTCATGTTCACCCAAATCCCATCCCCTCTTATCTTATTCCATTTAACAACCTAACCTTAGAATTTAAAACATGACAATCCAAAAGTCATATAAGTTTTCATACGTAATATACAAATATATTACAAACTTCATAAAAAAACAATTAGCTTAGTTTAGTTTTAAATCACTCAACATCAAATATATTTTAGGAGATTTTTCCAACTTTTATTAGACCGAAGATGATTGGTCCATTTCCCAACTTTGTTTGAGTACAACCCCTTCATGCACTGCCACATATTCCTGCACATATATAAATGTCAATGTACAAGTGCATCATCAAGCTATGTCCCATCGTAACCAATTTAAATTATCCAAAATGATTAGGTTGATATAAGCTTGTATCATATATAAAAAAGAATGTAAATCGAATTATTTGTATGGGCACGCTGAATTCCCATTATGTTTGAAATAAATGCTGAAGAACTATTATATGTATTTCTATTAGGATTTGGTCTTGAACTTAAAAAACCGTGCTCTCATGTTCTTTTTAATAGGATAAGAGTTGCACTTTTTATTGTTAATCTTCTAAATAGTTTCTTTCATTTTCGGCATGAAATAAGCGAAAAAAAAAAACTACTTCTTAGATCTATAACGATAAGAATCCTTGAGCTTAAAACGATTATTGTCCGGATGATGTTTATACTTTATAATAAAATTTGCTAGATTTCTTCGTTAAAAAAAGGCATTGTATATTTATTCTTTACTTAAAAGGTTCTACAGTACGCCATCACCAATGGTTTACCAACCATGATATATATATATATATATATATATATATATATATATATATATATATATATATATATATATATATAAAACATGAGGTGTATTATTTTAATCCTATATTTCATACAACTATATCAAGTCTTTATTTATATATCTAAAAAATGAACAATTATTATGTTCTACTTATAAAAATAAAATAAAAACATTGAAAATATTATAAATTAGTTATAAAATGAGATATGTTTAAAATGGAAGGGGTTAAATGTACAAGTTATATTGACCACTCAATATATATTGAACACTTAATATATATTGAATGATCAAAATAAAAAAACAGAATAGTTGTTTTCTCCAATAGTTTTAAATGGTTATTTGAAAAAACAAATAGTAATACACTATAAAAAAAATCTTCCATTTAAGATGCTCTTAGAACATGTTCGAGGTAAGCTTTTTTACAACATATTATTATTGATCTTTTCTTGTTAACAACTTATTGTCATTGGAGTGTAAAGATTGGTTGTTTTTTTATTGACCAACAACTCAATGAATATAATATATATTGAATGATTAATATATTTTTTAGGTTTTGTCATTTAAGCCCTCACACATTAGTTATATTTTAACCTCCTTTTTAAATATATTTTAGTTTTGAATATTTCTTATTTTTTTACTTATTAATTATTTGTATTAAATATTTAATGACATTTCTTTTATGAAATATAAAACTATAATGATTATATAATTTTTTTTTTCATTTTTTATAACTATTCCGTAATAGTTTTTTCGTATTAATTTTTTTCGAACGATATTTTGTAATATATATATTTTTTGAAACATTTTATTATTATATTTTTAATAAAATTAAAATACAATTTATGTTTAAAAAAGAATAGTTAAATAAGGGGGTTTTATAAAACATTTTACATAAATATGGATAAATTATTTAATTTTTTTTATAAAAAAAACTATTAGAAAATGTTAATCCTTTGAATGATTATTTAATTATATTTTAAGTTATTAGAACGATGATGTAACAATAGTTTTAAATTTTAGGATAACACAATAGATGATTGTGAATAGATACAAATCATTATAATATTACATTTTTTTAACGTTAGCCCAATTTGCCTGTTATTAATCTTGTACTATTTTTATTTTTATTTTTAAAACCAGGATTTTAACAAGTAATATGTAGACATGCATGCAAATAATGAATGTACCATAAATATAAATAAATAAAAGCATGGAGTAGTGTTATCAATCTACCTCTAGTTTAGTGATCAAATCTTGTGCTGTAATTGCCGAAACCATAATCTTTCTTTCTGAAACTTCTATGAAACCTTCTTCTACTCCTTTGTCAAACAAAGCAAGTAAACTATCGTAGTATCCATCCACATTTAACAGCCCGACCTATAACGATTAATCATTTTTATTTGAAAAATAAAAATAGTTAGCGACACTAGTAGTGGATTAATAAGAATAAATGATATGTCCTAAGAAACAACAATAATGTATTTTACTTATTGAACTTGATTGACCTTTATGTATTATATTAGGTGTAATCGATATTGTGTTTTCTGCCTGTCCCATGGCCCGATATATTAACAAATTCTTATTATTAGGAATAAATAATTCTCTATCTAAAAGTATGCTTTTTATTTCCGAATTTGTTCAAGATATATTGAAAAATTATCCATATATTTTATATCATAATTATTGTGCAGGCATATTTGTGCCACAAGCCATGTCGCAGGTTGGCAACTAGATATATAGGAGGTCCGGCCGCCATCAGCTATATTTTTCCCAATTAAAAAAGATAACCGCTAGGTTACGTTACACATAAACTAATAAAAGATTCATATATTGATCGCTGTTAAATAATTAACAGTTTAATAATGATGTTCTTAATTAATTAAAATACACAATAATTACTTCTCATAGTATATTTTATATATGTTACATGAGAAATTAAATATCCTTTTACTTTTCTTAGTAGTTATAATTCTATTCATACGAAATAGGACAATTGTGTTTTAAAATATTACTGATTTATCAAAATATAACCCTTGTTATTATTTCATATTAGTAGAACCTAAGTAAGTTAAAGTAGAAAGAAAAGATAGAATATTTAATTTTTCATATTGCATACTAGCATTTGTCTTCTTTCTATCTATTTGTATGTCCTAACTTTTACAATAACTTTTATGTACGAAATTTCATTAAAATTGCAGCTTTTGTATACCTTTTCATAACAGTCTCTCATGAAATTCGAGAGGAAATAACACATAGTTCCAAAAACTTTTTGCTTTCGAGTGTCCATAAAACGAATATAACGTAGTGCTCTCTTTTAGTAAATTTTCAGCTCAAATATGATTTTGTTCATTGGAAATCACTAGAAGATATTAAAAAAATAAACTTACGGGTTTGTCATGGATTCCAAGTTGAGACCAAGTGACCATCTCCAGTAACTCTTCCATGGTGCCATACCCTCCTAAACGAATGTATTGACTTTTAGTATTTTGATGCAAAACATGAGGAAGAAAGATAATAATATACATATATAATCTAATAAGAATGATATAATCATAGTATTAAAAACAACATAACTATATATTATCACGCAACTATCACATTAAATTAAAACTATAATTAATCAGGTAGACATTTTTAAGGGTTTTTATTGACCAAGAAGTAATGACCGGTAATCATTATTAATTAAACATTGACAAAAAGTTATGTATCATACGAATATGTTATTTTGCAATATGTGTGTGGGATACTTGATACTGAAAATTCATGTTCAGGAATTTTACATCTAATAAAAAGAATTTTAACTTATTATTAAAGTTTTTAGCCGATGCCACTCAAACCCTAGTGAAAAAATAGATATACCATATGTGAAAACTGTGTCTTAAACTCACGTATAGGTACTTGTCGATTTTTGGTGTTTTTGCACTTTTTTTTAAGGAATACGTTTTAGATATAGTTTCATTACAGTAGTTGTTTGTATGCATGTTCGAGATTAATTTTCATATATATACCAGGAAGTGCGATGAAAGCATCAGCATTTTCAGCCATTACAGACTTCCGTTGATGCATATCTTCCACTATTCTTAACTCCCCCGCTGTTTCCCCTGATATCTACACATTGTAAAATTGCATTAAATTAAATCACTAAACTTCGAAATGTTTAACAGGTGTTAAATTGTAGTACCTCACGGGATAAGAGAGCTTTGGGCATCACTCTGCAAAAAATTAACCAATTAAACACATACCAAAACCCTAATGGGCGGGTAAAAGGTAGAACATCATCCACTATAGTAAATTTTATTATATAATAAGTTTGGTTTAAACTTTAAACAGCTTGTTTTGTTTGTTGATATATACCAGTAATCTAATGCGATGTACAAAATCAATCAATAAATTAACAACATAATTGTTTTTAAAAACAACTTATATATCGAATCTTGTGCTAGTGCGTTTTCAACAGGAGTGCATCAGTATGAGTTTGCACTCCAGCTTACTCAACACCACTGATGAAAACTATATATGGTTCTCACACGCATGTACATTGTAGAAAGATTAACGAACAAATCAGATTAATTTGTTTATATATTGCACACACATATGAAAACGTGTTTGTGTCTTGGATGAGGTGGGGGGTTATTACCCAAGAACATGGCAACCTCCATTAAAGACAGTTTGAGAAATCAATCCCATCAAGCCAATACTTCCTCCACCATAGATGAGATCAATTTTCCTATTAACCTGACAACAGCAATAGTCATCAAACACAAAATTATATATAAACACCATAGTCAGTTTGTTTGGCGATAAGAGATCAAGATAAGGTCGAGACTCGGATTTCATAAGTGCAAAGGAGTCCAGTTTCTCACTGGATTCGAGTTCTGGGAGCTAAAAAGTAATTTATTGTCAAGAATATGAATACTTATGCAACGGATATGTGTTGATTACCAGTTCTTGACCAAGTTCTAAGGCAGCATCAGTAAATGAAGATCTAAAACCAGTTCGACTCCCACAAAATACACATATTCTTTTCAGTTTTCTTCCTCTTTCTTCTTCTTTTGAGGATGTTCCTTCTCTTTCCATCTGTTTATGTCTCGTGTGTGTGTGTGTGTGTGTGTGAGAGAGAGAGAGAGAGAGAGAGAGAGAGAGAGAGAGAGAGAGAGAGAGAGAGAGAGAGAGAGAGAGAGAGAGAGAGAGAGAGAGAGAGGCTTTTCTCAGTAATACAAACCCTTTTGAGTTTTGTCACATATAAATAAATCAGTTGCAAGTCTCGATCGATGAACATCATTTATTTAAGACATAGAGTCAAAGCTCCCCTTCGCCCATATCTCTTAACTAATAAGTTAAGAGTTTATAAGAAGTTGAGAAATTTTAGAGGGATGTTTTTAGATTGACTTTTGTAACTAACCAAGTTTGGTCGGTTTGTAAGACCAAAGTTTCTCACTAAAGTTTTTTTTTATTTATTTATTTATTTTTTATTTTTTTTTACTTATCCCAACTTCTCTCTTCATTTTCACTTTATTTTCCTCACATTTGTATCACACCTCTTGCCTCACTTTTATATTTTTTTAATTAATTATATAAAGGTATAAATAATGTAAAAGGAAATCTATTATAAAAATGCTATATTTTAATCTCATATTTAATTAAGTCTTTATTTTATTTTATTTTTCTAATTATGTCCCGAATACCAGTTAAATTGTTCAATTAAGTATCGGATACCGATTAAATTATTCAATTTTGAACAATTTTTCAGATTAGCCAGTTATTTTGAAAAATTGTCCAAAATTGAATATTTTAACCGGTATTTAGGGCTTAATAAAAAAATGGAGTTAATTGTATATTAGTTCAAAATGTAAGGACTTTATATGAGTTTTACCTAAATTTAAGCTTTTGCTTATTTATTTTATAAATTCTTTAAAAAGTTTCAAACTTGAACATTTGATAGTTGAAAGGTCTAGTATACTCAAGAGTTATATTAAAGTGATAATGTTAATTAACATACGTTACTAATGGATCACACTAATTAAAAACAACTTGATACAATTGACTATTTATTAGAAATTGGTTTTAATAAATATTCAATAAACTCTTATATTTAAATTGGAAATTATTTATTTCTAGAAAATGATAATTTTCATTAGTAAGTAACATTATATATAATTCATATGGTATGAATTAATAAGTCATGCACAACATTTTGGACTAGACAATTTCTTTTGTCTTTTACCAAGAAGTTAAAGTTTATATTTTATAAACTTGGTTTATAAAATATAAAGTTTTTGTGTTCTTTCTTTTATTATTTTTATAAAAAGAGTCAAAAGACAAGAATATGACTTTCATGTTTGTTTAATCAAAAGTAATAAGAAGCATGGGAGACATGTAAGCTATAACGACATGGTTGTCTAAAATGAAAGGACCTAATGGTTAAAGACTTCACTTTAAGACAATATAAATATGATGCTTCCACTCTTAAATTGGGTGCTTCTTTCTTGCTTCCCAAAACCATAACCTCCTTAGAGGAGGTTACTCTGTCTCTTTTCTTCATTTCTTCTTGAAGATTACTTGCATTTTCATGCCCTCTTTAAGTTTATATTTGTTATGAACTTAAAGCTTAAGGGATTAAGAGTTTATGGACTAGCATCTATATCAAGTTGAGTCATTGTTGATGTCTCAAAAGTTCTTTATTCTTCATCAACTTCCAAGCCTCCCAAGAGGACCCAAAATACTACAAAGGTTGTCATTTCTTCACCTCTTCTTTGGTTGGTGTTTAAATCTTTCTACAACTTGCAAGAAGATCCTTGGTGTGTATAAATTGTTTATGTTATTTCAAAAATTAAAGTCTTCCGTTTGCCATATTTTTCTAGTTTATGAAATAAATTTTGAACTAAATCCAACAATTGGTATCAGAGCCACTTTACAAGCTTGGTTAGATTTTTGATTTTTGGAAATCTTAGTTTTTGAAGAATATGGATAACTTGATTTTGTATAAAAATAAGTTCATACATATTTTCTATGACAATTTTTTTTTTGTTATTTTATGTGACAAAATTTTCATGCATCTTTTGTCATTTAAAGTTGTCTTAGAAAAAACAAAGGTTATTTTATGTATATGTTGATGTATATTATGTGCATAAACTAGCCAATGACCATTATGATTGTTGTCTTGGTTGTTTTATATAAATGGTTGTAATAATTTATTTATTCATATGGTATGTAATAAATTAAATAGATTAGTTTTCTTGGTTTATTTTTGTAAGTAATAGATTAGTTTTTATAATTAATTTATTGGTACAAAAATGTAACAAGAAATGAAGTTGGGATCATTTTTTGAAGACAAAAGGACAATTTTCGAGTCTAATAGGTGTGCAAGATTTTCAATGACATTTTCTGAAAAATGTCACTAATGCTGTTTACAAAAGGCTGTTGGACTTTTAGCGACAATTGCTGAATTTTAGCATTCAAGATGTTTTTTCAATCCTTTGCAAGCAATTGGTGTTTATTCAAGTGGGAGCTTCTTCAACAACATCACAAGAAGATTTTTGGTCCCCTTAAATGTCCATTTAGGAATGGACTTGACATTTTTTTGTGTTGGCTCACAAAAAATACCATTAATTGGCTATGTTTATTCACATATGTTTTTATGCATGTTTGTGTTGTTTATTTTATGCAATTATTATGTGTGGTTGATAAATTAGTTTGTTACATGCTAAAATAATTTTGGACAAAATAAACATCGCATGGAGTTTGGTTTTCAAAATTGGACATAAGATGTAACAAGTTATCGTTTTAAAATAAAACCCGGTTTTATAAAATCGTTAATAATGACAAATTTTGAAATACTCCATTATAAGTTTTAAAATGATGATTTTTGTAACTTATACAAACTCCTAATATATAAGTAATAAAATGAAGTTTTATTTAATATAAAAGGTTCAAATACAGTCAAACTTAATACGGGTTATTAAAATTGAGTTGCGTCAAATTATATAAAAACTAGCTTTTTATATAGAACCTTTAAAAGTGATTTTATTTTGAAAATTGATACTATGGTTTATTATATGTATGTAATAAACATGATATCGTATGTTTTTATACTAGAATTATAAAACATATAAAGACCCTATTTTTAAAGGCAAATAATGTAATTTATTTGACATATGTGAACCTTATTTATATATAAATGATTCTTAATGATACTTTCACTAAAGTGTAGAGAAAATAATTAAGGAACTATACACTTTGGTGTATGACTTCCTTTCTAATGAGTGTCTGAGATTAAGCACAAGATATCAAATCAACTTTATTAACAACTATAGTAGTTTTAATTATATTTTACATGGTAAAGCGTAATTATGAAATCTTTGTTGAAGGTTTCAAAAGTTGAGATGCAAACCGGTAAGAACCATCTAAGGCCTTAATGATAAGAAATGATGAATTAAATCTTACTTGGTTTGATTTACTTTCTAATCGGTAAAAATATCCTCCTTTAATCATTTTGGGATAATACTTCAATCACTATTAATTGTATCTTGAATACAAATACCAAATAATAAGTAGATTAAACACTTTATAAGACTTAGTACGTAAAGGCTCCATCCTTATCTTACTTAATGTTTTATAGATTTGAAGCCGATGTTGAACTAAAGCTTCTAAACCCAAAATCTACTAAATACATATTTGTATAATACTCTAAATGTGGCTTAGATTGTTATATGATAACCCACCAAGAATAGGTTCTTTTATTCTTGTGAAAGCTAAATTATTAGAAAGCAAGCTTCTAATGACAAATCAGGTGGGAGGTACATGGAGCGTGAGATCCACTTGTGGATATAAAACAAACATATTAATGTTATAACCATCATTTTATGTAAAACCACAAGGTATGTCTTTATATCAAAATGAATAGAACATGTGTGTTTACTAAGAACTAGTGGGAGCATAGTGAAATTCCTAATCTTGTATGAATGAGACATACTTAATCATTTAAAATCACATTCTGACTAAGCAAGGTCATTTTCACCTTGACTCGGAAAGTATTTCTAAAATGAAAGACTTAGGAATGAGAAGATACATTCTTGGAATGTAAAATCTATAAGGGATAGATAAAAAGGAATGTTAAAAGTTTCATGTCTTATACATATATTGGCAATATCTTGAAAGGGATCAAGACATAAGATTCTTTTGGAAAATTCTTGGCATTTTCATATGGCACCATTTTGAGCTAGCCTCAAAACAACATAGGTCATAGGTTTGAACTAGATGAAATGATTTATATTCCATTTGATTGGAAAATGAATTCATCATTTACGCCATATTGTGCATAGGACATGCTATTTGATCATGCTATAAGAATGTCATAGGATACTAATTGAATACATGGTTAAGTCACTGGATGACTAAGAGAGAGAATTCTAAGAGTACTTTAGAAGAACTAAGAGAATATATATGAGACAATCAGTTTAGAAAGGATCTTTATGGAAAGAGCTACACAAGATGTTAATTTCTAAACAAATATAAGTAATTATGAATTGTAATTGGATTTTGACTTCATTATGGAATGAAGAGCAAGTCTTGATGGAATGAGGTCCAAGCAAAACATAATGACACAATATACTACAAAATAACAATACACTACTTTAGATGTTGAATTCAAATATGATTGGATGAATGGAATCATTGAAAAGCTATGTTGATTTCTGTCATTCAAGGATCACATAGAAATCTTTGTGACTTCGATAGTATACTTAATAAAGCTAAGAGACTCTATATCACGAAAGAACACCAATAATATTCTCCAAGATATTTAACTATACTTAGAGTAAAGTTAAGTATGGAGATGATAGTATTCACAGAATTCACACAAATTAAATTTTGTCAGATCCATTGATAAAGTCATTCTTTTGAGCTAAGTATGAATGGTCACACTTCAGCTATAAGACTTTATTATTCTAGAAATGGGTTTTTGATTTGGATTTAGTATTTGGATATTGGAACAGTATAACAACAACTATTAGATCATGTTATGATATATTGGGATATAGTCATCACATTAATACTTGTTGTGTTCTATGTTAACATGTTTAATCCATGAATAATGTTATTATTCTAAAGGTTCATAGTCGATTATAATTGTGG